ATTGAAATATGGTTATAGCAATGCAGTTGCTGTGGGGGGGGGAACTTGTGTCTGTGCAATTATCGTTAGTTCTTTCTCAGCCAAACAGAGCAGCAAGTAAACATCCTGACCTGGGTCAGAAAGAAAATGGGCACTTACCACATTATTGATCTAGTCTTTCTTCATGTAGCTAACTCTAATAGTTATCAAATAATGTGCATTCCTAGTCACAGGGCAGTTATTTCACAGAAAAAAACTACATTACTATAGTAACTACATTCCGCTTTCACAGAGGACTTAAAGTAGGTTGCACCAGGAGCATGGGTTCATTTGAAGAAGGACAGACAGACAGATATACTGTAGATATATCTACTACTGAAATGTTTGAGCACTTACTGAGCAAGGCTTACCGGACATTCAGAATCCATTTGCAATTGATATTTGGAAAGAGTCCATGGCTTTCAGAGGGTTGCTTGTGGTTTTACATTAAATACCAAGTTGGGGAGGAGTGTTCAAGGGTTGGGGAATAAATGAATTATGTCCAGTTTCTGGAACATTTTTCTCTTGATAGCTCAGTGGTAAAGTACCCTAGAATCTGCTGCCATTTAGTGTAGCCCATGATAGAACTGGCAAGGCTGGCCTACCACACATGGCCTTCACCAAGCTCGCGTGCCCAAACACATATACTAGAGGTAGCTAAAGCAAGACAACCAAGGCTTTAGCCCAGGGTCTTGAAATTCAGAGGATGCAACAATTTGCTGCTGGAAGGACACAAACCTGCCTGCCCTAAGGACATATATTACACCTGCCACTCCTCTGTGAAACACTAAACAAATGAGTCTAATGTGGAACTCATATGACTGTTCCACTCTTACTAAAGCTCAGGCATTTCTCCATTCTTTCCCCATGTATGCCAATCCCACGCAAATCAAAGGTTAACCAATGTCAATCCCTAGATGTCAGAATTACTAGTTATGCTCTAGTAATATATGAACATACACACAACATTCATATATCTCTGTGTAGATACATGTCTGTTATGCACAAGTTCTATTCAGTAATTTAAAAATGTTGTGAATATTTAGGCAAACAAAAGGGTGTTCTACCTTAACCCCTCCATCATCGTATCTGTAACTCTCCTACACTTGGAAGGCAGTGAGTCTGAAGAGAGAAAGCTACCCATGCACAGGGGCTTTCCACATGAGTCAGAGAAATGTAGAAAATTTGGTTCCTGGCTCACACGGAGAGCTGCAACAGAGAACATCTTCAAACATCACTTCCCAGATATAGAAGGGGATGGGGGTGTGTGTGGAAAGGGCAAGGGTAGAGTGTTCCATTTGACATGTGAGAATTTTACCTTGTCTTAAAGAATCAAATAGGACTATACTCTCTCTTAGCTGCTGCTGTAGTAGGAAATAAGGAGTTGCTCCTTCAGAAACTGCCCTTTCATAGTGTTTCAGATTCTTTGAAGCAGTGGTTCGAGAGGGAGCCATCTCTTTTAAGATCCCCTCCCTTTCCATTAGAAAAACCTCTTCTTGAAGAGGAGCTTTGAGGAGAAAGAGGAGTGGTGATGGGCCATCACATGACAGCTTTGGTGGCCTTGTCAGTTTAATCTATAGGCCTGGATGTAGAAAATAGTGAGTCAGATGGGTAATCTGTCTCCTACTTTATGCACCTTGCTTGGTGGATTTTGACATCTGCCTATTACAAACCAACATTTTCCACATGTTTTACGAGACAGATCAGGTGAGGTTCGTATGACATCCTGTGGGAAGTTCAAGGTGGGAAGTACCACCTTGACATGGGGAGCGGTCTTCTCTATAGAACAGCAGTAATAATAATAATAAAAAGTTCACAGAAATTCAGTTTTTTATCACTAAATGTTATATCACCTAATAAACATTGTTTCTCTTTCCCCTTCTGTTTATGTCTTACTGTTCTTACATATAGAAGATATACAAGTACATTAGACGTATACACATTACTCATTTGTGTAACTGTTTAAGTCTTTAGTCTCTTCACAAAGTACTGACAGGAAGTGAGCTCCATATATCAAAGGAGTTGTAAGTCTGTGTTACTGGCACCAGTTCCTATATCTTGCTTATCAACTAGCCTCACCATTAATGTCCACATTGAACGTGGACATCAGCATGGAGGGCTCTGAAACTCAGGGCATAGACTTCAACACAATCTGAACCCTGACTGCATAGGGTCCGAGAATGGAAGCTTGGGCACTTAGATTCCCTCCTAAGTCCATAAACATGGAGGTGTGGAGCATTCACAATATTGGTAATAGGGCCAGCTGTTCAACCCTGCCATGTGTGAATAATGCCAATAATGCACAAAGGGCTAATGTGTACAAAACAAATACGCTGCTTAGTTTGTAAAGCGAGCAGTATCTCTACTTAGAGACTGATATACAGGCATTTAGCCCACTGGTTGGTCTGCTGCAGGGATGAGATGGTTAATTCCTAAAGACAGCAGACATCTTTGTTGAAGTGAACCAGCCCAGGACTGATATACAGGCATTCAGCCCACTGGTTGGTCTGCTGCAGGGATGGGATGGTTAATTCCTAAAGACAGCAGTCAGACATCTTTGTTGAAGTGAACCAGCCCACTCTCCAAAGCAGTCCTACCCACACCTTTCTGGACCCTGTCAGGGGTTTATGCACTTTTGGTGCAGGTAGGATCACACTGTTTTGGTTCATTTCCAGAGCATATATTTCCAGAAACAAACCAAAAATGAGTCTTCCTTTCAATTGCCAATATCTTGAAGTGATTTTTAAAAAGAGCCACTTCAGGATATTGGCAAATTAAAAACTTCATCAGCTTCGTGGAGGGGCTAAAGATGTGGGTTTTTTAAAGTGCATTAGGGCAGTGTATATGCACTGCATCACTTTTAGAAAAATAAAAGCAAAATGGGAAACTTCCTCCAGGAAGTGGGAGTGGACAGGAGGGAGCAAGGAGGGGGATTTTTGGTTGTTTTTCTTGACTGGCTCTTGATCAGAAGAGAAGAGGGGGGAAACTCTTCTTGTTATGTCCTTTGCCCTCCTGCTTGCTGTCTCTTCCCACTTCCAGGAGGAAGTTTCCAATTTAGCTTTTTTTAAAAAATAAGTGATACAGCATATATATATTGCCTAATACAGTTTTTTAAAAAATGCATTTCCTTGGCTTCTTCGTTGAGCTGACAAAGTATTTAATTTACCCACATCCTGAACTGACTCTTCTTAAGCTTCTTCAGAATCTTGGTAAATTGATGGCAGACCAAATGGGTCACTTGACATCCGTATGCCACTTGGTGGGAACCTCGCATCCAAATGGCATATTGGACCTCCTAGAGATTTTGTTTAGCCTGCACCAAAAGTCCTGAGTTCATGTAACAGTGCTGTAGACTTACTTAACCTGGTAATGAGTCCTGTTTATCCCAGCAGAATTTACATCTGAAAAGAGAGCACACATGATTACATCACTTTAGTGACAGAGAAAAGCCCATAATTACAAAATTCACAGATTGTGATTAAAATATACCATAAGCATGCAATACATCTCTCCAACCTGCTGAGAGATTACAAAGGGGGATATGCTTTCTCTGATCTCTTCATTCAGTCATAAGCAGTGGATTTCAAGGCATCTTAGGATACTAGCAAAGAATATTGTTTAGTTTGCTTTCCAGTTCCTCTCTATAGTAGAAATTACTCACTGCATCTGTTTTCCTTTAGATAGATAAATGAAACCATGCAAGAGAACAACATGCCACTACTATACAGGCAGTAAAACTCACACTAACCCCAGTTCTTCCCCTACCTACTGACTAATGGTCAGATACACACTCAAACCCAAATTAGATAATACAAAATAGAAGTGACATTCTAAAATGATAATTTCTTTTTGCTAGTCTCATTCCACATTTTGCATGTTATTGCTTTTAGTCATTTGGTAGTAAATATGAGTTTTATGTGCAAGTGTGAGGGTGCTCTGAAGGAGCTGGGTGCCTAGAGGGAAAACATCATAATATTAGGAAGTTCATGTTTCTCTTAATGTGTAATTTGACCCTCAGTGTATGGCTTATCTCAAAATATTTCCGTTGTGTTGCTCTGTGTGCTAAGAATATTCTCAGATTTTCTTATTCTCAACAAGAAAAAGGTATCTCAACACATCCCAACATCCCATCAAACACCTACCAACTATTATGAGATTTTTTTTCACTCTTACATAAGAAAAAGACTGTTGCTTAATTCATCAGTGGCAGCTTTAGCGAAAAGGGTTAGCTTTTGTACAAGAAGGTATTTTGCATAAATACCTTATTTGTATTTTTTTTAGCAAAGAAAGAGATCGGCACAGGATGCTGTTTCTCCAAAAACATTTTTGCAATTTTTTTCTTAAATGTGACACATGCACAAATACATAATCTTGATCAATGGGGGAAAATTTTAAAGAACTTTTCATTCTCATCTCTGAAGACAAAATACGAGGAGATTTACATCTCTGCTGTGCACTGAATTAGAGCAGCCAATGGCTGGATGGAAAAGCTCTGTGTTCCAGATGTTTTGAACCTAAGGATTCCTTTACTCTTCAAGGCATCTGACTTGCTTGTATCACCATTTTCTCTTCTAGCCTCTGTGCAGAAAACAGTTAAAACTTCTTAACTGTTAGAGCAGTGTGACAAAGGAACCAGTTAACCTCAGGAGGTGGTGTGCACTCCAACACTAGAGGCATTCAAGAGAAAATTGGATAACCATTTGTCAGATTTGCTTTGATTTGGATTCCTGCATTGAGCAAGGGGGTTGGACTCCATGGCTTTATAGGCCACTTCCAACTCCATTATTCTATGATTCTAGAAGTAATGCATGGTTGTGGCTATGAGTTTTTGAATTTATTTCAGCCCCCTCACTAGAGACTGCAGGTCAGAACTTCTAAAGCAGCTTGAGTCATTCATTGCATCTTCTGTGAATTAAGAACTAAGGCAACATACTTGCTCATGAGATGCATTATTTAATTACTTGTGTAACATGTCTTTTCAG